CTCCGGCGCCGCCCCTGGCGCGCTCCGCGCGCCAGAGCGGGGGTCCAGCGCCGATCTCAGAAATCCGCGCGGACTTCCGAGTTTTTATGTTTATGTTTTTGCTTGTTCCCTGAAGAGCTCTCAGACCGTGACACGCCAGACCTGCTTCTGCGTGGGCTTGCGGCGAGGCGCCTTCTCCTGGCCCCCGCGCACATACACGGGCCTCCCCAGGCAGGTCGCGCGCGGCTACGCCCACATACATGTAGTTGTACCCGCCGGTCGTCGAAAGTAGGTATTTCTGGATTTCCCAGATCCCAATCTACTTCAAGCGCCTTTACACTTCAAGAATCGATATGTTTTTGCTGCGTTGTGTTATTCTCTTGGCGGGCCCGAACCCAATCTACTCGATCCGCCTTCCGACTTCATGTCTCTACCTATTTTTTTCCGACCGATGGGGGTAGTTGCATAAATGTATTGTTACAGATTGTACATGATGGAAAGATTTGCCCCGACCAGGGTTGGCCGGAGTGGGCTGGCCGGAAGTATTTGGGGTTGGCTGGGGGGGAGCTGGCCAGGTTGATCGCCGCTCCGATAGGACCGCGCCCCACCCATGCGTGGACGCGGGCGGGTCGCGGCGCGCTGCTGCGCGCCTGCAGCCTGGGGAGAGGAGGAGGGAGCCAATTAAAGAGTTTGGGAGACACTGGAAGTTGGTCCCCTTCCTCCCACTCCTGTCGTTTTCCATTGGAGCGCTCCGATAGGACGGCGCCCCCAATGGAGACCAATGGAAATCGATCGAAGATGTTGAGATCAGGATCACATGTTCGTCCGACTCCATGCGCAGAGCATCAGCCAAAGCCCGGGATTCAATTGTGGTAGGCGCAAGTAAGCCGTGACGGCCTTGCTCCGCCATTTCCCTCCGGCGCAGGCCTCGGCAAACCCGTCGGCGCCATGGATGTCCATCGCGGTCCCGATGCGGAAGGCATGGGAAGCAATCCCAGAGGTTTTGCCGCCGGCGTGCCGACGGCAACGAGGTCGTCGCGAAGGCCAGCCAGGAACTTGCAGTAGCATCCCGGCTGGTATACAAGTTCATTGGGGTCGCCGCGGCCAGCCAGAAGCCAGGACGCCTACATGTGCACGCAAATCACGGGGTCGATGTTGCAAACACATGTGGCCTCGAGCGTGGACTGCGCGCGCAGCTGCCCTTGACTCCCAATGGAGCCGAATCGCATCGTGCTCCCGTCCACTTGCAGAAGACAAGGCTTGGATTGTCCCAAGAACTCGAATGGGATTCGGAGCAGGAACGCATACGCCATCATGTAGCCCATGCCCCGAAACAAATTCTCGCTCTGGGCAAAGTGCGCCAAGAGTTGCCGCAACTTGCTCTTCTGAATGCGAGGCCTGGGAGGCGCCAGAGGCTGCAGATTGCGCGCCGCAGACCTGATGTCCGCCAAGACTGGAGAATGCTCCGCCAGCCCATTATTTCCTGCCAGATGATGGAACTTGCGCCACGCTGACAGCATTGTCGCGAGCGTGCCTTCGCGCGTTATCACGGCGGCGACGTCGCACACAGCGCTCGGAGTTGTTGGGAGGAAGGGCCTGGTCAGGAGCTCGCAGAAAGCGCTCATGTCCTTGCGGACGACATGTACCTGCCTAGCGAAGTACCCACAGAAGCCCCGAGTTTCTTTGTCAGCAGGACGTCGAATATCACGCGGACGTCGAGACCCTCTTCCTGGGCAGAGCGCACCATGCGAGCTGCTCGCGCGGCGGTGCGTTCACCCATGTCCTCCGCCGCTTGCCGGGGGCGACCCCGATGAAGTCGCGCGCGCCATTTGGCGCAATTCGCGCCAACGAAAGTGCTTCCTCCACTCTCTCGAGAACGTCAGCGTCGGCGCGCCCTCTCGCTAATCAGCAGCAGCCGCGGCTTCAGCTCCTCAAGACACGGCGGAGCAGCGACTTGCCGCTCGAAGCGACAAGGGCGCGCGTGGCGAACCTCTTCCGAAGACCCCCACCCCGCAGCCTCAAGCGATGGCCGGGCGCGGGCGGGCAGGCGCCCCCGGGGCATTTTGGAAAGTTGGCCCTGCGCGAGTGGAGAGTGCGACGCCAGAAATCGAAAGAGAAAAAAAGCCATAACCATAAACGTTTAGCGCCCCGCGCGGATTTCTTGGATCCGCGCCCGGGCCCCCCTGGCGGCGCCTCCAGCGCCGCCCCCGGTTCGCTCCGCGCGCCGGCGAAGGGCGCCCAACGCAAATCCGAGAAATCCGTGCGGAGCGCCCAAAGTTTATGTTCACGGCGTTTTCTCTTCTTCTCAGGAAGGAAGACTGGCGCGCGCCAGCTGCCCGCCGACCAGGGCGCCAGCCCCGGGGCCAGGGGGCCCCGCAGTTTTGGATTGCCTCGTCGCGCGAAGAGCCGCAGAAGCAGCCGCCGCGCGCTGCTGGAAGTCGGCAGGGGCGGCGGGGCGCATCGACCCCCAGTGGGCCCTGCGCCCATGCGACTGCCGGGCTGGGGCGAGGCGCACCGGCGCACGCGCGCGCCGTGAACGCGCGGCGATTGCCAGGCCCGACATGGAACCCGGAAGTTGCACGGCAGCGCTGGCAGTTGCGACCCCGGGCGCACGACGAATCCAAGCGGAATCCAGGGCCCCGCGACCGATCGCACAGGGGGTGGCCAACATGGCTGGCGCACTGCAAGTCATCCACATAAGATGTCTACGAAGTCAATCCAAGGATTGCCACGCGTCGCGACGTCTAGTCTGGCAGTTGCAGGGAGCGCCGCAGGCATCCATATAAGACGATGAGCGATCAATGAGCGGGAGGCCACGGAAGGCCCGGCCCCGCGGAGCAAGCCATTCCCAGGGAGCGTTGCGAAGAGACTGCGCGGCGGCAGCAGACGCGGCCGTCGACCCCCTCCCAGCGCCCCCCAGGAGTGGAAGAGGGGAGGGGGGGCGAGGAGAAGGGGGGCCGGAGATGGAACGGGGCAGAAGCAGGCGGGCAGCAGCAGGCAGCAAGACCACTCTGGGGCGCCCCTTGCCGCCCGGGACCCCCGCCCTGGGCCGCGGGGAAGAGACTGGCGAAAGGGCCCCGGCCCGCATGCCGGGCAAGCCGACACGGCGCGCAGGTCTAGTCGGCGACCCATTTTCAACGCGCTTTGCGGCCCCACGACGGCACCGAATGAGATAAGGGAGAGGGAAGCGAAAGAAATGAAGATGACGACGGCGATGCCGACGAAGACGCATGCGACGACGATGACGTCGCATAACTTGTGTTACCAAGGTCATCATCATAACGCTGGTGCCAAGCTGCTGCTCGAGGCAGTTCGCGTTGGCGGCCTTGTCCGAGGCGCGGCAGCGGCGCCAGACACCGCGACGGCGCGGGCCGAGCCTCGAGGAGGAGCAGCGGGGGGGCGCAAGCCCCGCCCCGCGCCCAAGAAAGGGGGGGCGCCAGCCTTGCCCCGCAACGACCTGGGGGCGCCCGAAGGCCTCGCCCCGGCAGGAAGACCGAGAAGGCGCGAGCCCTGCCCCGGAGACGTACACGGGGAGAGCACTGCCCGCAGAGATGAAGCCAGCCCAGGCTCTCACCGACCCCAGACCGCCGGGTCGAAGCAGCACAGCACAGGCACGTCTGGCGAGGCTACCCGGCGGCAGCCGAGGTGTCAAGGCGGCTCAGGCCGTCCGCTGAGTTCTCCTCCGATGGAACGCGGGGATACACAGGCCCGCGCGCTGCGCCGTGACCTCGCGCCAGACCTCCACAGCGAGGCAGCGCGGCGTCGCAAAGCCGCTCATGCCCTTGCACAGGACGCCCTCCGCGGCCGAGCTGTCGACGACGACGGTCATGTCGGCGCCCAGCAGGCGGGGGCGCCATGTCCTTCTGGCCAGCCACGCCCAGAGGGTTTCTGCATCGTTGATGCGCTGCTGGCGATCGGCTAGAATCACTTGCCCAGGTCCCCACTGACGGGCAGGGGTAGAAGCCGGGCCGTGAGAGGCGCCCCTCGAACAGGATTGCCCCGAGGGCCTCTGCGCCGCTCGGCTCGCCCTGGCCTCTTGCGTCACCGATGAAGACGCAGCGGGGCCGCGCCTGCGGCGAGCGGAGCACCAGCCGCCGAAGGGCGTCTTCTGGGCTCGCGAGCATGTCTACGAGGCCGTCGATGGACACGCGGAACGGGCGATAGGTCGAGGAGCTCTCCCCGCGCACCTGGTCGCACAGGACGCGCGAGAAGATCTCGCCGCTCTTGCCCCGCGAAAAAAATAAGGAACTGCCCATGCGGGACGGCCCGCTTGCTTCGAGGCGAGGCGGCGCCTGGCGAGCCGCTCGCTCGCGCGTTGAGGAGCTCAGCTGAATGCCTGCTTGCCTGCTCAGCTGGAACGCCCCACAGGATGAGCACGTCCTGCGGGGCGCCTCTCGGCGGCGGCGGCAGGTGGAACCCAGCGCCCAACAGCGCGCCGTCTGCGCGGGGGCCGAAGAATTTGTCCTCGGTCCTCCGGCTTGACAATCTCGAACCAGAGGACCCGGCGGAGGTCGCAGAGCAGCTTGAATTACTCGTCCGCGAGATGCCCTGGTGCGCAGTGGACCGCCTCGTCTACGTGGCGGCCACATAGAATGCCAAAGAAGCGTCTCGCAGCAATTGCCACTGCACGGGGCCGCCGAGAGCACTGCTGCGGCTGTGCCCTCCCGCCAAACGTCATGCATCTGGGCACGACCGACGCGGTCTCTTGCGCGTCTGCGTCCATTGGGAAAGACGCAATACCTGCGGCGCTCCTGTCTCATGCCGGCTTGGTAGTGCATTTTCCGGCCAGAACCAAGGGCCCCCGCGGGAGCGCTGCGGCCGCTCGAAGAATAGGAGATCGACAGAATCCCCAAAGTTCTTTCAGAGCATGCCAACGATATGAGACACGGAGCGGTCACGGGCGATCTCCAGCCGCTCTTTCGCAACCTGCTCTTGGACGGAGTGCCACAACTCTGCCCTGTGCTCGCTGGCAAGATTTATGCGGCCTTCCTCCTGGCGGCTCCCGGCCGACTCCAAGATCGATGCTGATGGAGCCGGATCAGCTTCCACCCGAGGCGCCCATGTCTATAGGGCGGCGGGATGTCCCTGACCGCGTGGAAGCCGCCCTGCAGTTCTGACCAGAGTGCTGCGTCGTCGTGGCGCACTGCCTGGAGCAAGACGCCGAGCAAGGGGCCCTGCAAGTGTTTGCACGTGCCGCACACTCTCGGGCATGGCGTCCGCCCACGCCTACTGCTCTCCCCTGTCCGCAGGAAGTGCCCTCACCCACTCTGCAGCCTCGCCCACTCTCTCTCTCTCTCTCTCTCTCTCTTTCTCTCCCTTTTCAGGTTGCAATGTGACGCTACGATGCTTGGTCGTCCAAGCCGATGTGACTAAAAAAGGGTGGAGGAGGAGGAGGAGGAGGAGGAGGAGGACGAGGAGGAGGAGGAGGAGGGGGAGATAGAGGGCGAGGAGGACGAGGACGAGGACGACGACGAGGACAACGAGGACGAGGAGGACGAGGAGGAACGGGAGGACGGCGAGGACGAGGACGAGAACGACGAGGAGGACCACGAGGACGAGGGCGAGGAGCCTCCCGCCCCGCCCGCCGCCGCCCGCCGCTGCCGCCGCTGCCCAGCTTGCGCCGCCGCCGCCGCCCGCCCGCCCCCCCCCAGGCACGGCGGCGGCGAGGCGGCCGCCTGGGGCCTGGGCTCACGCGGCGCCCTGGTGGGCCGCCGCCGTCGCCTGCGCGCGGGCGCCGACGCCGACGGCAACGGCGACGCCGGCGACGACTACGACGGCGTCAACGACGACGACGACGACGACGACGACGACGACGACGACGACGACGGCGGCGGCGACGACGACGATGGCGGCAACGACGACGACGACGACGACAACGACGGACGACTACGACGGCGGCGACGACGACGACGACGACGACCGCGACAACCGCAAAGACGACGACGACGCGAAAACGACGACGACGACGACGACGACGACGACGACGACGACGACGTCGACGACGACTGCGACAACGCGGGCGTCGTCGACGTCGTCGCTTGGAAGGTCTTTCGGAGTTCCAGCGGTTTCGTCGCCGCGGCTGGACGCGGCGAGCGAGCCTCCGATCCCGGGCGTCGGCGGCGTCGGCGTCGTTCCTCCCGCCTTGTGCCCGCGCAGGCTTCAAATTGGCACGATCGATCCGATTCGATTTCGATTGTGGCCAGCCCGGTGCGACTCGATGCCGATGTTCGAGCAGTTGATGCGGCCAGACGCTGGCACGGCGATGCTGTGCGTGCTGCCGCGGCCGATCCGACTCCACTCCGGTCCAGCAGCGCCCTCGGTCGAGGATTGACAAAAGTTGGCACTGGGCCTGCTCGTTCTTGTCGTCGCCGCTCTCATTGAGATTGTTCCATCGTCCTCTCCACATGCTTGCCCAGCGGCATTGCTGTGTCTTGTTCCAGTGGAGGCCGATGCCAAGAGGCACCCTGCTTGCCTCCAGGGTGCCCTGAGTTTCTTGGGCTTCGATGGTTTTGCGATGGAGAGCGCGACGGTCCCACGCCCAAAGATCAATCCATGGACGTCCTGGGGTCTCAGGGTTGGGTTTCTCGTGAGAGGTGTCTTGTGGTCGGGCCCCCATTGTACTCTAGCTTCGCGTCGTGTCGACGCGGAGGCGACCCCTCCGCGGGCGTCCAAGGTTGGGTGCCCTCGGTGGCCTCGAGTCGGCCGAGATCGGCTGATCCGTGTACCCAGAACGCCGCCACCGTTCAAGGTTGAACGACCCACTCAGTATCGGAATCCAGCGCGCAGGTGGTCACGACGCAAAGTTGCCAGAACCGTCCGCCCAGTGTCTCAGTCGTTTAGTCTTGTGCCCAAGTCGCCTAGCATCGCCCCGCTTGGGCTACGGATTCTGTGCGCGTTCGCCACCGCTGCGACTGGCATGTGTTTCGCTCAGCCGTCATCCCAGATTACATGGCCGCGGCACCCGACGCCTTCCCTCGGGCCAGCGGCGGCCCTCAGAGAGATGACATGAGCTGGCTGCACCCAGTAATTATGCTCGCACCCAGCACCTCGTCTCGAGCTTAGGCAGCGGGGCCTGGCCGCCAGAAGGCCTTCTGGGTCCTGTAGGAAGCGTGTCCTGAGGATTTCTGCACGCTAAGGTCCTAGCCACTTGGGGCCAAGCCTTCCCAAAGCCAGTGAGCAGAGCAGTGGCGCGAGGGGAAGCCTGGGGGGGATTTGGCCTCCTCGCGTCTTGTCCTGCTCATGCTCATATTCCTCCTCCTCCTCCTGCTCCTCCTCCTCCTCCTCCTCCTCCTTCTCCTCATCCTGCTCCTCCTCCTCCTCCTCCTCCTCCTGCTCCTCCTGCTCCTCCTCCTCCTGCTCCTCCTCCTCCTGCCCCTCCTCCTCCTCCTCCTCCTCCTCCTCCTCCTCCTCCTCTTCCTCCTCCTCCTCCTACTCCTCATAGAGAGGCCTGAAGTGGTCCGGAACCCCTCCTCACCATCCCTCCTCATCCCTCCTCGCCCCCACCCGCACCCCCCGCGCGCAGGGGGGATCAGGATGGACGAAGAGAACTGAGAATTGAGGAGGACAGGATTGAGGAAGAAGAGCAGGCATGGACCCGTCCTTCGTTGCGCGATATCCGACCCCGGACCAGACCTCCGGGTTGGTTTTGGAGGTCGCTTCGGCGATCGCGGCGGCCACAAAGCGGAGCAGGTGTTTTGTCAAGGAGTGGCATGCCTCTTCCCAGCCACTCCCCCCCCCTCTAGCGACACAAAGTGGTTAACTAATGTCCAACGCGGGCAGTCATATTTTTGTTAGGGGTCGATTATCCCGCAGCCATGCGTCCTCCCCCTTCCCCAGCGCTTGTGCTTGAGTAGTAGGCGTTGGCCGACGTGTGCCTGGCGAAGCAATGTCACCGTCCCAGAGTATGCAGACGGTTTGGTCCTCAATACTGTCGTCCCCGCCAGGGTCTTGAATGCGCACTTCCAGAGATTGCTGGTCTGGCCGTCGATAGGAGCATCTGACGCAGAGAAAAAATATCTCCAGCAAAGGGTTCGTGGAATCGGCCTCCTGGCCTCGCCGTGCAGTGGGTGGGCGCATGTGCCGCCTCCGGCCCGCCCCCTCTGCGGCAGCGAGCCGCGCCCGGCCCGCACTGGGGCGAGGCGCGGGGGGGAGGTCTTCCAGCCGCGCCACCGGCACGCGCGTGGGGACAGCCCTGGCTTCGGAGGGGTACCCGCGTGTTCTTCGTGCGCAACGTTAGGTCGGGCATGTCCCCCTACAGACGGGTTCTGGACGGAAAATTCTATTTTCAACGCAAAAGGAAGTCCAAAATTGGTATTATATATCTATATATATATATAGAATCCCCCCCCCAAAAAAAAACAATAAAATAACGTCCCCGTGACAATTTTTTTACTGATTTTGAAAAATTCATCCTGTAGAGGGGCACGCCCGACTTAAGCGTAACGTCTGAGCGTTTTCCCCTGCCCCTCTCCACCCCCCGCGGCCGCTCTCGTCTTTCTCCCCCCTTCTTGCACGCCGGCCACTCAGCCTTTCATAGTGTCTGGGCCCGTCGCTAAAGGGTCTCGTGTCCTTCGCCCTCGTTCTCGTGGCCGCATTCCGACGGTGCTCGAGTCGTGTCGATGATCCTGCGGACGTGTGCGGCCCAGTGTGTGTATTTCTGTGCAAGCACATGTGTGCGCTAAATCGTCGACGACCGTTCCGCTGGCACGAGGAGTGAGAACCACCCTGGCTGTGCAGGGGTACACATTGTTCACTCCTAAGTATTCGAAAGTTCTTCGATTTTTTGGGGGGGCAAGATCCTTTCATGTCTACTTGTTCTATCCTGGGCCTCTTCCTGGCCACGAGGGGGCCAGGAACAGCTAGAAGCGAGCACAACTAGAAACGAGTGCGATTAGAAAAGAACAACGCGTACCATTCTGCTCGGCGTACTGGCGCGCTCCACCCTGGAATGTCCCTCGTCTGGCAGGCACCTCCACGAGGCGCGAAGGCGATGGCGGTCGCGTCGCGGGCCTCGGCCGGGGAGCCACACTCCTCCGAGGTCTTGGCATCGCTCGGACGTGTGCGTTCTTCCTTCGGCAAGGACCATCGAGGAGCATCCTTGGTCATTTAGCGAAAAAACCACGCACGCAACCGAAAAGAGCACAGGGAATGGACGCCCGAGCGATGGCCAGAGGTGGCCCTGCGAGGGCGCGAGACGTGCCCGACCCGCGCAGCACGGGGCGCGCGGTGCGCGAAGCGCTTGGCGACCACTGCGTGCCCGCTGCTGTGGCGCTCCAGGAGGGGCCCCGCCTGCGGCGCGCCTGGCCCTCAGCGGAAGGGGCCGCGGCAGCCCGCGGGGGGCAGAGGCGGGGCGGCTCCGCCGGTGGAGGCCGGCGGAAGGCCGGCCAGCGGGGCTCGGGCGCGAAGGTGCCCACCTGCCTTTGCTCGCTCGTCGTCGAGCATAGGCCAGCGCCGTCCACACGGTAGTCTAGAGCCCCACGCAAGACGCAAGACCTCCTGCGCCGAACGATGTCGGGGGCAGTGCGCGCCCGCCGGTCGGCAGGCTGGCGGAAGGGCGGCGGAAGCGAGAGTGAGGCGCCAGCCTTTTTGGGGGATCCCGGGGTTCCCGAGCCCGCCACCTGAGCGACGCAAAACGAACGGGGTCGTCTGCGCCGACATTGGCGCGTAAGCTGCCCGCGTAAGGTAGCGCATAAGCGCCCTCGTCTCCAATGCAGCGTGCCGCGCTAGCGGGCCGCGTAAGCTGCGGCGCAAGGTCGCTGCGTCACATCGCGTAAGGCGTAAGGCCCGCTCTTGATCGTCGCTCACCTTTTGTTGGGGCCGCAGGCCGCTTTGGCCCTGGCGGCCCCGTCGGCCAGGCTGGGCGCCGCGGTGCCCCCCAAGCGCCTCGGGCAAGCCCGGCCCGCGCGCGCGCCGCGGCGGCACTCGCCGGCCATGCGGAGCGTCGGCGGCCAGGGCCTCGAGCCCGGGCCGAGCCCGCCGCAGGGGGCGGAGCGGAGCCCGTCGAGGGGCCGCACCGCGGACGAGGCCGAGGCTGCGGGCCTCAAGAGTATGCACCACCACGACGTCGACTCCTCCTGCCTCCTCTAACCTCTTCTTCCTCGCCTCTTTCCTGGGAGAGGGAGGGGGCGAGAGAGGTGGTGGTGGTGTATATGTGTGGGCCCCGAAGAGGCCGCCGCGGAGGCCACGCGGGCCGCGCTGCGGGGGGAGCTGGCGGCCTTCGCCAGCGGCGCGCTGCGGCAGGAGCTTGAGGAGGTGGCCAGCGGCTCAGCCGCCCCTCAGCGGGCTCATCTCGGCTCCTCCGAACCTCGAAGGAGACAAAAACTGCATAAACATGAACTGTTGGCGCTCCGCGCGGATTTCTTGGATTTGCGCTGGGCCCCCTCGAGGCAGCGCCTCCGGCGCCGCCCCTGGCGCGCTCCACGCACCAGGGAGGGGGCACGCCGATGTCCGCAGATTCGACATCTCCCGGCTTGGCTGCCGATTTCCGCCGATCCGATTTTTTCGATGTCTAATCGAACTGATTCGAATCTGGGCTCTCTTGCCTCCTGCTTTCGAGGGGCTCCCGAGGTGGTTTAGGCCGCGTCGCTCGATCGGGCCAAGACGTTCCAGCGTCTCGGAGGTTGGGAGGCTCGGGCAACCATGCTCCGAGCTCCTTGGCCGACCAGACGGCCTGGTGTAACTTCGAGCCTCTCTTACTGGCACGCCCGCGCTGAAACGCAGCACGTAAACGTGTTCAAGGCGTCTGTGTCAAACACATTGCGTTTTGGTTTACGCACGTCTGGTCTGCGTGTCTGCGAATGCATCGCGCGAGGGTCGTTGCGTTTCCAAAATGCGTGCTGAGTTCAGAGGTCTACACGCTCTGGGTTGCGTGTTGCGCACTGCCGGCGCAAGGATAGTATCAATCCTAGATTAGAAGAGGGATGCCTATGTTCTCGATCTTTGGGCCCTCCATTTAGATATGCTCTTCTTCGGGGTCAGTCCCACAGTGGCGGGGGGCCGTGGGGGACTTGGGCGCAGGGGTTCGGCCTCTTGTCCCACGTTCGCGTGGCCAGTCTTCGCTTGCGCCCTGGCAGCCGAGGCCAGCAAGCTTCGCCAGCACGTGCACAGCGAGATCAGCGAGTTCGTCCAGGTCTTCTCGCTCTGGGCAGGGTCGGGCGCGGGCGGCGCGGCGCCGCGGCCGCCAGGGCCCGGGCAGCAGCCGGCGCCCCACCGCAGGCAGGGCGGCGGCGACGCGGGCGGCCGCGGCCGGAGGCTCTCGGGGGCGCCGACGTGTTCGAATGCCTTCGGACGCGACCCCCTCGGAGGAGGAGGAGGACGGGCCGACGTCTTCTGGCGTGGTCCTCGGCGCCCGGCGGCGTTCCAGCCGCGGGGCGGCGGCTTTTTTTCCCGCAGCCGCGCCGCGCCGAGAGAGCGCCCCTTGCAGGGGTGTCCGAGCCGCCCCGAGCGGCCGCCGGAGAGCCGCCGAGTTCTGGCGGGGGGAAGCCAGGGGGGCGCTGGCAGGATTAGGTCGGGCGTGTCCCCCTACAGCGGGACTTTGGACGAAAAGTAAAAGATATTCAAAAAATTGTCGAAAATTGTCAAAAAAAATTGTCGAAAAATAGTCCCCATGTTATGTTTTCACTATTTTTGAATATTCCTCCTGTAGAGGGACAGGCCCGACTGAAAGCCAGGGGGGCGCCGGCAGGGGGGTGGGGAGACTGGCCCGGGGCGGGTTGTGGGAGAGACGTCCACCTCGGGAGGGGGCAGAGCACAGGCCCGAGGGGTGGTCGATCCCTGCAGTCGACCTACGCACAGCGTCAAGTCGGGCATGCCCCTCTGCAGGAGGCATATGCAAAAATGGTTTTATATATAAGTTATATATATATATACACATAAAAAACTGGGGACGATGTTTTGACTATTTTTGGATATTTGTTGGTTTTTCATTGTCCGTCCAAGATCCGCCTGTAGGATGGCATGCCCGACCTAAGCATAGCAAGGATTGGGCAGCCTTCCCGAGGGTGCCCTACAGCACCCCTCCCTCCTCGGCCCATCCTTGGCCACTTCTCGCTGGCCGCGCCCCGCTCGAACAGAGCCTCGGCATGGCCTCCCAGGCCCTCGCCTCCTGATCTCGTGCATCCTCCTCCTCCTCCTCCTCCTCCTCCTCCTCCTCCTCCTCCTCCTCATCATCATCATCATCATCATCATCATCATCATCATCATCATCATCATCATCATCATCATCATCATCATCCCCTCCTCCTCCTCCTCCTCCTCCTCCTTCTAGCCCCGCTTCGCCCGTCCCCCGTTCCCCCCCCCCGCCTCGGTGCATCCTCTTGCTACGGCCCATCCTCGGCCACCCATCGTGCGGTCCGTTCGCGTCGTGTCGACCAGCAGCGACTCCGCCGCTGGCGTTCAACGCTGCACGCCGGCGGCGGCCCAGAACCGGTCGATGTTGAACGATTCTGACGGTTCGGGAACGGCCGATCGTTCAAGGCTTAAGTCGGGCATGTCCCTCAAAAGATCGTCTGGAGGCGATGTTTCTGACATCTTTTGATTCTTTTTCGAGTATGTTTGACTATTCTTGATTTTTCGTCCCAATTCCGCCTGCAGGAGGACACGCCCGACCTAATTCGAGGCTGAATGGTCCCCACGGTGTCGGGAGCCAACGCCGGGGTTGACACGGCATGGGCCTGCCGTGTGTCGGCACAAACGAAATTGGTACGGAAAGAATGGGCACGATGCCCAACAGGAACTCCTGCTCATCTGGGACAGGACTCGCTGTCCGCGCCGCCGCGGCCTGTGTCCACTTGAGACAGAAGGCCGCCTGCCCAGCAGCGGCCGCTGTTGGTTTGGGACAACATGTGTTGTTGGGCAGTGTCCCCATGTTTTCCATACAGTGCCGTTTTTGATACATGCTCCGCGTGCGGATCATGTATTAAAAATGCAGGGATTTAGTATTAAAAACAACGATGAGTTCAGGCATAAATTTGTTCATAAATTGACCATGTATTAAAATCCCATCTCTTTGAAAATCCCATGCATTAAATATTGCCCTGTATCCCCATTCCGGGCGTCCAAAGCGTGGCTGCCTCCGGGCCCCCCTCGCCGCCCCCCGATCGCGCCCACGCGCCGCCGAGAGCGGGGGGCCTGCGCCGCCCCGCCTGCTCTGGAGGACCACGCGCGGCTCCGCGGTCTGCAAGTCGGGCCTGCCCCTCTCCAGGAGGACGATGCAAGAGTAGTCAAAACATACCAGTCTTGAGTCGGGCCTGCCCCTCTCCAGGAGGACGGTGCAAGAGTAGTCAAAACATACCAGTCTTAAGTCGGGCCTGTTCCTCTACAGGGGTTATATATATATATATATATATATATATATATATATATGAATAGTCAAAAAATAGTCCGGGGACGATGTTTGCACTATTTTTGAATACTTGAGGGGCATGTTGGGGGTATTTTTTGTTGTTCGTCCAGAATCCCCCTGTAGGAGGACAGGCCCGACCTAATACTAGTCCTGGGACGAATGTTTGCTATTCCTGACAATTCTTGATCACGTTTTAACCCTGAAAGACATCGACGACGACCAGGAGGAGGAGGAGGAGGAGGAGGAGGAGGAGGAGGAGGAGGAGGAGGAGGAGGAGGCAGTGATAAGGAGGAGGAGGAGGTAGTGATAAGGAGGAGGAGGAGGAGAAGGAGGAGAAGGAGGAGGAGGAGGAGTAGGAGGAGGAGATCATGTTTTGACGATGTTCAGCTCTTCTTCCAAAGTCCGACTGTTGAGGGACGTGCGCGACCTGACGCTACCCCGGGGTACCCACGGCCACTCTGCCAGCGATGGCGCCGTCGCCTCCACGGGGCCTCACCTCGGGCGCGCACGCGCGCGCAGCGCCTCCGCCGCGCTGCGGCGGAGGATCGCCGGCTCCAGCTTGCGGTCGGCCCGCATAGGAAGTTGGCATCGCTCGGACGTGTGCGATTTCTCTCGGCGGGGACGAGCGAGGAGCATCCTGGATCATCTGGCCCCCCAAAAAAGCACGCAGGAAACCGACAAGTGCACGGGGAATGGACGTCCAAGCGACGGCGAGAGGCTTCCAGCTTACGGCCATGATGTTCCAACCTACTTCAGCCTTGATCACCAGGAAGAATCTCGAGCACCAGAAAAAGTACCGAACGAAACTCGAGGGTGTTCGCGTGTCAGGCCCTGGGAGACGCTCGCTCGACACCGTTTCGACAACTCTTTCGACACTCTTCCGGGTGCTCGAGATTATTTCTGGGGTGTGGTCCTTAAGTACGATGGGAGCAACATAAGCTTACGGTCGACCCGCATAGAAAGGATGGGCTGCCTGCCCGAGGGTGCCCTTGCATCCTCTCATGGCGCCAACGTCGCAGAGCGGATTTCGTTCGGAAAACAAAAGGATGGGCCTGGAGTGGCCTGGAGAATGTCGTTCTGGATTTCGAGGTGAAAGTTGTGCGTTTTTGGGGGGGGGGCAGGAATGAAGACCAAAAAGAATCCACACGAAATTCACTTCGTTTTTCGCTCGCAGCTTCGGGCGAAAATCCACGCAGCACGCAGAAATTCGCTGCAGCACGTCTGCAGGCAGTACAATGGATCCTTGCCTCCTCGGTCCATCCTTGGCCACTTTCGTTGGCCGCGCCCCGCTCGAGAAGCTTCCAAATGGGCTTCCAAGGCCCTTGCATCCTCATCGCGCATCCTGCTGATACGGGCTGTATGATGTCTCCGCCCGCGCCGGTCCCGCTCGGCTCCCATCAGGTTGTGTCGCAGATGCGACAACGGACACCGGCACGCCTTGGCGGAGGGGGCGGAGGACCAGGACAGCACATCCCAGACCCACACCCGCTCAGCGATCGATCTGCGGAGTGGGCCGAGAAGGGGCGGGCCCCCTCACCGTCAGATCCCTGCAGGCTGGAACCGTGGGGCCCGCGCGAGCTCGGCCCAATTCCGGGACCCTGTTCTGGGCGAGGGCGGTCGGACGGGGCTGGGACGAGGAGAAACCCGTGCCAGCGTTCTGGAACGCCTGCATAGCGTGAGACATCCTCCAGAGCCAGGGGAGCTCAGAGATTCTCTATCTATCATCACCCGAATTTACCCTCGTCCTGACGCGTTCAGAGCGTGAGACATCCTCCAGAGCCGCGGGAGCTCAGAGATTCTTTGCATACCCTCACTCGAATGTATCCTCGTCCTGGCTCCATCCTACCCAGCTGCATGCAGAGCCCCCCCCAGAGGACCTCGCAGTGGAGGAGGCCGAAGCTGAGGCCATGGTTGGCGGGGCGGGGCCGGCGGGCGCGGCCGCGGAGGCGCCGTCGCAGCGGCTCCCAGCGTCCTCGGTGCCGCCGCGGGCGGGTCTGCCCGGCGCCCCGGCGCTGACCCGGGGCTTCTCGAAGTCGGGCTCGGGCTCCGCCACGCTGCGGGAGGCCGGGGCCCGCCATGGAGCAGACGGGTCCTGAGGGGAACGAGTGCTGAGGTTTTTCGCCGCCCTCGGGCGCCCAGGGGCCCCATCGCGGGCCCCAGGGCCGTCGAAAGACTGCCCTGGCGAAGAACCCAGCCCTGTCTAGACGCGTGTGACCGCTCGGTGCAGGAGAGCACGCTGAGGGATCTGCAGTACCCCTGAGCGCTTCGCCGGAGAACGTCGGTTCACACTCAAAGTTCCCCATTCACGCATGCACTCTCGCGAGCGAAGCTGCAAACGGGGGCCACGAAACGAGTGAGTGGGGCAGGGCGGCGCCATGCAAACCCAGCCACTGGGGCCTTCAGCGGGGCTCTCCCTAAGGGGCCACGAAGCGTGTGAGGGGTGTGCCGACATGGGCCCGAATCCACATGCGGGCATTGCTACTGGGGCCTTCGGTGGAGTTTTTGAGGGGTGTGCCCAAATCAACCAGGGACCACATGTGGACCTTGCCACTGGGCGGGGGTGACGCACGCGAACTTTGCAACCAGGGCCTTCCCACGGAACGTTGTATTCTGGGGCCTTCGGTGGAGCTCCCATTGGGGCCACGACACGCTGTACTGGGCGGGGGAGGCGCAAGTAAGCCTTGCCACTGGGGCCTTCGGTGGAGCTCCCCACGGGGCTACGAAGCGCTGTGCTGGGTGGGGGGGGCGCATGTACCCCCTGCCACTGGGGCGTTCGGTGAAGCTCCTTTGTGGGGCCACGGAGCTTCAGCTTCATACTGGGTGGGGGAGGCGCATGTAAACCTTCGCACTGGGACCTTCGGTGGGGCTCCCTATGGGCCAAGAAACGGTGTATTGGGCGGGGGAGACGCATGTGAACCTTTTCACTGAGGCTTTCGGTGGAGCTCCCCGTGGGGCCACGAAGGCGCGAGGGGTGCGCGGAGACCTGGCGGGCGCGGAGGGCAGAGGCAGGGATCGGAGGAGGGAGACAGAGGCGCGGAGGAAGGTGAGGACGCGGGGCGCTGTCTCTTCAGAACGAGGACCCAGCACCACAGGATGGTTCTGGGAAATGTCGTCGCCCCCTCTCTGCTGTCCCTTCTCCTTCCGCCCTGCCCGGCAGGCCAGCGGCCACGAGTGGACGCGCCGCCACATGCGCGGCTTCAAGTCTCCCAGCGGCTGCCACCCCGACAGGCCAAAGGCCCGGCGGCGCACGCCAAGGGCGTGGCGCTCACGGGGGTCACCGCTGAAGGAGGAGGAGGAGGAGGAGGAGGAGGAGGAGGAGGCAGAGGAGGAGGAGGAGGAGGAGGAGGAGGAGGAGGAGGAGGAGGAAAGGGAGGAGGAGGAGGAGGACCGTGAGGGGTCGCGACCCCCACAGTGGTGCCCCCCCTTTGGACTTGCCTGGCAAGCGGGGGTTGCAGGAGATGGGCGCGGCGGGGCTTCTACGAAAGGCAAGTGGCTTCTCAGAGACCTCCCGGTCTACCGAAAAACCGTCCCCGAAGCCTCCGGGCCCCCTCTCGACCCCGCCCTCTACAGCGGGCACGGCAAGTAACAGCCCTCCCTCCCTCCCTCCCTCCCTCCCTCCCTCCCTCCCTCCCCCCCCCCCCTCCTTCCCCCCTCCCTCCCTCCCTCCCTCCCTCCCTCCCTCCTCCCTGCCAGCGCGTGCCCCAGGTAGCCTACTATCTGCCGAAGGGTCGGAGGGCACTGGGGCAGAGCCGACGACGGATGTGCCCCAAGAGATGTCTCAGACCAGGATCTCTTGGCGCACGTGCCCGCTGCAAGAGGCCCCGCCGCCTTCTTAGAGAAGGCCGCCCGCCTCGCGCCAACCCCCTTGCCCATAGAGCTGCGACGCCGTGCTCTGCTCGCAACGCGGACCCCCAGAGGCCTGGACCCGTTGACTGGGAACAGCTTCAAAATTTGGGCGTGTCATTCTACAGGAGGAATGTTCAAAAGTTGTCAAAACACAGTGTAGGGGTGATTGCTATTATGTATATGACCAGTATGTATGATCGTATTGCTATTTGTAGTCAAACGTAGTGTAGGGCTATTTTTGTATGTGTTGAATGTTTGCTAGTTTCCTCCAAGGTCCGCCTGTAGGAGGACATGCCCGACGTAAGACCAGCTCCTCGTCCCGAGTGGTCTCCGACGGCCCCGTGGCCCGGAATAACGGCCCCCCTGGGGGGGGGAGCCTCGACTACACATAAGAGTGACCCTTCGCCGGAGTGACCTTTCTGGTGCGGGCCCACCAGGGTCCCCCGATCGCCGAACGCGGTGCGATGGTAGCGTCTTCCGCGCTTGTGGTTGGTCCCCCCTGCGGCCCCGAATAATCCGCGCACCAAAGGTTACTCTTCCCTTAGGTCGGGCATGTCCCTCTGCAGCAGGGGCTTTCAAAAATAGTCAGAAAATAGTCCAGGAACGAGTTTCGACTATTTGTGCTTAGTTTTGAACTTATGCTGATAATGCTTGTTTTTCGCCCGAAGTCCACCTGTAGGAGGACATGCCCGACCTGACTCTTGCCCAGGATCACTCCTGCGTGTACAGTGAGCGGCTTGAATAAGGAACACTTACTTTTCAAAAGGGGCTTGGTCGTTCCTTAGGCTTGCATGCGTTATTCATCGTTCCCTATGCGCTATTTATTATTTGTTCATCGCTCCCTATGCGTTATGCCTTGGAAGAAAGGGGCTTCGCTCCTTATTTATCGTTCCTTAGGTCAGGCTGATGACTGTAGCCGAGGGGCCGAAAATGGCCAAGAATTCCCGTTTTGTTTTCCCACAGGGAGAGGATGCGGGGCGGGCGTGGCCAGGACGGGGACAAACCGTTCCGGAGGGGGCTAAAAACACACAGACACAATTCATCGTCGACTCCCAGGAAAATATGGGAAAATCTGGGAGGTGGGGGGCGAGACGAAAACCCAGAAAATATAGGAAAAGATATGGGGCATCCTGTTATGCGTATTTGTGTGTATTTATTTGCTGGTCCCAGGGCCACTTTTCAACCGTGCCGCAGCGGTCTGCAACGCTCTTCGGGGCGCGCCGACACGCGCTGGAACGGCCGAGGCGCCGGTTGCCTCCTCCACCGCCGGATCTCAGAGTGCCCCCGACGCCTCCCAGTGCGACGTTGCTCTCGTCCTGGCCTCGTCTCGGAGGTTGACAGACCTCCTACCCTGACACGTCGATTAAGGAATTGGCCGTTTTCGGTTCGCGGGAGGGCGCCGCGGCCGTCATTTTTGCGGGTCCAGGTCCGTCGGTTTCGGTCCCAGGCCGTTTTCACTCAGGGGAGGTTTACCAAAGGGAGGTTTGTCCACCGCCGATCGTCTCAGTTCGGGTATACAGCCAACCCGTACAAAAAGGATGCACGGCAAAGATGCAAGGGCCTTGGGCACCCATGCCGCGTGCTCTTCGAGCGGGGCTGGCCATCGAAATTGGTTACGGATGGGCCGAAGGTGACCGAAGAGTCAAGGATGCAAGGGTACCCTTGGGAAGATGGTCATCCTTACTATGCGGGCTGACTGTAGCCAGGACCCCAGGTAAGCGGAGCTGGTTAGTGATTGGGCCCCGAAGTCCCAAGAATGGACCAGTCTCACTAAACCAAGTCTGCCGAAGCTGGTAGTTCTTCGGGTGGCGGCAGTTCAGGTTCGTGGAATGGGGCGGGGGGAGCGTCCCCAGGTACACATCACTAAACCAGGTCGCACTAAACCCACTCCTGCCAACGCCCGATTAGTGGGAGTTCGTGCCACCCAAAGGTGCGGTAGCAAATCATGGGAGCTTGGTGTACCTCCGCTTTTCCGTCTTCAGAGTGTATTGGCATGCGCTGGCGCGTGGTAGTCGATGAGAAAGCGCGGATCTAGCGTTGACGAGCGTCGATGCAGCGTCGATGAGCGTCGGCCGACTGGCGTCGATTAGCGCCGCCCAGCGTCGACTCGCAAGAGCCAGCAAGATGGCACGGCAGGCTCCCATGAGCTGCCGCCGAAAGTCTAGGCCTCCTAGATGTGGTCCGAGCAGATGGGGTCGGAGGATCGCGCCGCATCGCCGATGCATCGGCGATGCGGCTCGATGTGGAGCCCGTGTTTCCCAACGCCGACGTCGCCGACGCATCGCCGATGTATCGGCGATGCGGCGCGATCCCCCGACCCCATCTACTCGGACCCCATCCAGGAGGCCTCTAGAAGTAAGTCGGGCGTGTCCCTCTACTGGAGGAGTCTTCGAAAATAGCGAAAAACATCCCGGGAGCGATTTGTCGACCACTTCTGACCATGTTCGGGTATGCTTGGACCGCTTCTGATGTTCGCCTGTGGGAGGACACGCCCGACCTGGCTCTAGCAGTTCCCTCGCGCTGCCCAAAAGGGCCCGGCGCACGGCGCCGTCGCGGCCGCCACGGACGGCCCCTCCCCCGGCGGTGCCTCGCCCTGCGCCCGGGCTGCGGCGGGCGCCCCGGCCGCGCGACCGCCAGCAGGGCCGGGGCCCGCGGCCCGCGAGGCGCGGCCGGGCGCCCAGCTCGCGCGGCCTGTGGCCGAGCAGGAGCCCGCGGCTGGCGAAGTGCGGCAGCCCGGTGCGGAGGCCAGTCCTCCTCGTGCTCCTCGCCTGCGCCTCCTCCTATCCTCCTCCTCCTCCTCCTGCTCCTCCTCCGCCTCCTCCTCCTCCTCCTCCTCCTCCTCCTCCTCCTCCTCCTTCTGCTCTATCCTCCTCCTCCTCCTCCTCTCCTCCTCCTCCTCCTCCTCCTCCTCCTCCTCCTCCTCCTCCTCCTCATCCTCCTCCTCCTCCTCCTCCTCCTCCCCCTCCTCCTCCTCCTCCCTTTCCTCCTCCTCCGAGCTTTCGGCCCAGCTTGGCCACTGGGGCTGGGCCAGAGGCTGGCTCAGCGGAACCCGCTGCCACCAAATTGTTAGGAGTTGGCTTCATTGCAGGAGCCAGATTGAGGAGTAATTTCGTTGCGCCAACCTCGCAGAGCGGATTTCGTTCGGAAAACGATGGGGTGGGCCCGGGGTGACCTGGAGAATGTCGTTCTGGATTACGAGGTGGATGTCGTGCGGATTTGTTTTGGCCAGGAATGCCGTTTCGGGGTTTTGCATGGGCAGAAATCCACGCAAAAATCCGCTGCAGCACGTCTGCAAGGTCGGTGCACTCAGTAATCTCTCAAAGAGCGTGCAGTGAGGTTGCAGAAGTGCCTTCGCCGATTGCGAGGCTTGCGATCCGCAGGAGCAGGCACCAAGAGGATTTGGAGCACAGGTCTCCAGTAAGCAGGATATCTTGGAGCTGAGATAGTAGGTCTAAGTGCCCAGGAGTTTCATGAGGCACAGAATATGTTCGTGAAGGTCGCGGGGCCCATGTGTGCTACTCGTTCGAGAGATCTTGAGCTTGCTATCCTCGATGACCCCACCTGGAGACCGCCCTGGGACCGTGCATGTATTGGAGTCCAAGAGTATGATCGTTTTCCGTGCTGCCCAGGACCCAGTGAAATCTGAATTCAAGCTCCCAGGACGTCTAGCAGCTGGTATCCTGGAAAAGCCTCCTCTCAGCGAGGGTTCACATCAGGGGTCCTCTTGGAGCAGTGTGTTTGAGTTTCTCCAGAGTCGGCTGGATGTGGACCAGCCCTTTGCAGTTCACCAGCAAGGATGGAGGGCCTATCCGCTCACGACTACCTCGCCAGCACTTCTTCGCCGAGTGTCTGCAGCAGCGTGGCAGCGCCGGCAGGCAGAACGTTGACGAAGCAGGATCGTGGCCTCCCGGTGTCGTACCTGACCCAGTCCATCGGGACCACGTGCAGGCGGAAGGATGCTGGATACGACGCGGGTACCACATGTATATCTGCCCCCCCCCCCCCAGGATCACATCTGCCAAAGGTTTCTGGAGTGCCCTCGGAGTGCTGTACTTCGGGAGGAGCACCTGGAGGAAGGAGATGCCGAAGCCCTGAAAGAGCCCCAAGTCGTTGCTCGTGTGCAGGCTTTCCTGAGCCCCCGCCTGTCGGTCCATGGAAGTGTGGTCAAGGACGGCCACCACTGGTTTCATGCCCCTGGCTGGGCAACCGCAAAGTGTGATCGCAATGGCGAGGTAGCTGCTTACCTCTGTGGCCCAGTAGACAGGGCTTCCGCCTACGTCGCCAGCAGCAGAATTTCTAGCGGAAGTACCGAGCCAACAACCAATTTAGAGGAGTGACTCGAATCCATTCCGAGTTCAAGGGTGTGGTTGCTTGCCACAACTCTGGCAAGCCAACTAGTACGAAGAATATGGTTAATGGGTTGGGCTCGATGGCCAAGCTAGGTGAAGCCCGCCGAGATGTTGGATTTGAGGTTTGTTAGGGTCAAAGCCCACCAAGATATTGCATCTCTCGAGCGTTTCTGAGAGTAGTGGAGGCACGCATCAGGCAATGATTCCGCGGACGGAATTGCCAACTTAGCAGCTTCCCGTTTTCTCCAGCCCTCGGAAGCCGAGCGGGCGGCCCAGCAGCAGCTCGACAAGAGATTCAAGCGTTCCCTTCGGTATGTGCCAAGGGCCTTGGCTCTGTGGCCTCCGATTGCCCCGAGGGTTGGAGGGAAAGGGCTCGAGCCCCTAGCCCAAGCGACCAACCCAGCAGTAGGAGCGAGGTCGATCGCGAAAGTGTGGCAAGGTGGAGCCCGCTCGAGGGGGTCGAGCTCGGGCCTTGGCGTTGCCGCGGCCCCTCCCCCGCCCCGTCCCCCTCGGGTGTGGCGCGTGCCCGTGTCGGGCACGTCTGGACGTAGCAGAAGACTCGTTGGCTCCGCTGCCTGTGCCGTCCGCGATGCCTGACTGAAACAGCCAAGCGCGGTCGTGTGAAGGAGCGATGCGCTGGTGATGCTGCAGCCCTGGCTGAGCTAGCGCTGCAGCCCAATGGTCATCAGCTCTTCACTCTCAATCGAATTGATGACGAGAGTTGAGTTTGATTGCTGCATGTTCCCAGTGTGGCAAGCACTCTGAATGCACCTTGAAGGGCCTCCACGTGGGTTGCCCCAAGCGTTGTGTTTCTAGCTTTTCGAAAGGAGCCAACGAGCGCCTCTAGGAGGGAAGACACCCCAAGGCCTCTAAGTTTTCACTCCCCCGATTCCGATTGCCCAGGTTGCCAGTCAGGCGGCCGAGGCAGAAGCGCTCGAGCCGCCGTAAGCGAAGTCGAACACTTTCCGAAGTCGTGCAACAGTCCCTCCTCCTCCTCTTCCTCCTCCTCCTCATCCTGCTTCTCCTCCTCCTCCTCCTCCTCCTCCTCCTCCTCCTCCTCCTCCTCCTCCTCCTCCTCCTCCTCCTTCTCTCTCCTCTCTCTTCTCTCCTCTCTCCGACCCTACTCCTCCGCCCCCCCGCCCCTCAGGCGCGAGACTCGAAGAGGGACAAAAACGGCACGAGCAGAAACTTTCGAAGGTCAGCGTGGACCCCTTGGATCTGCGCTGGATCCCCCTGGCGGCGCCGCCAGCGCAGGCCCTGGCGCGCTCAGTGGGTCCAGTGCCGGCACAAGAAGTCCGCGCGGATTTTCGAAAGGTTGCGCCTATGCCGTTCTTTCTTCTTCTAGAGACGGCAGCAAGAGTGGTGGCGTTGTGGAGGCGTGGCTGGGGCGCCAAACGTCCATGAAGCAGACGCGGATGGCCCACCTGGCCTTTGCCGAGGATGTGAGCGAACGGTCCTTGCGGGGGTGGGTCAGTCGCGTGGTCAACAACGAAAATTTCGACTACGCAATTGGCTTTTTGGTGTTCCTGAACATGGTCGCGATCGGCGCAGAGGCTGACTACATGGCGAGAAATCTGGTAGATCATGTTCCTATCGAGATGCGCGCTGTGGAGTGCGCGTTTTGTGTTTCTTTCGTAGTGGAAATCTTTCTCAGAGTGTTTGCTCAGAGGGGGCAATATTTCTGCGCTGCTGGAGGCGCGTGGAACGTGTTCGACTTCACCGTGGTTTCGCTCCATGTGGTGGAGGTGGCATTGCACTTTGCTGGGATCATGCGCGACTCACTGCAGCTCAACTCGACCTTCATGCGCGTGTTCCGGGCGCTGAGGATGGTGCGCGTCGTGCGATCTATCCGAATCATGCGCTTGGTGGGCGAGCTGCGCACCCTGGCGGCCTCGCTGAAGTGGAGCCTGAGCTCGCTGGCATGGACCGTGGCGCTGCTCCTCATGATCATCACCTCTGTCGGCATCTGCCTGACCCAGGTTGTGACGGACTACCGCGTCAGGCATCCGGAAGGCGAGGCGCTCGGCCTGGCTACCTACTACGGGTCTCTTGGCAGCACGGTGCTCTCCTTGTACCAGGCAATCACGGGTGGCATCGACTGGAAGGAGGCGGTAACGCCCTTGGCAGACAGCATCTCGCCGCTGTGGTCTGTTGTTTTTTCGCTGTACATCGCGTTCGTGGTTTTCGCTGTCCTCAATCCAGCGGCCTTCGGCACAACCCGCCTCCGGGCCTGGGATCTGGGTCATGCTTTATGTTTGCCTCTTGGACCCTTCTTGGGGTTCATCTTGGAGCGTATCTGAGCCGTCTTGAGGCCATCTTGGGAATCTTGGAGCGCTACTGGGCCGTCTCGGGGCCATATTGGGCCGTCTCCGCGGCATCTCTTGGCCCGTCCCCGCGGCATCTCGACACCCTCTTGCCCGTCTTGGAGCTTCCCGTGCTGCTGAAGAAGCCACGCGGGGATGCCTCAGGAGCGCTTGGCCGCGCCTGGGAGCGCCCAAGAGCGCCCGGGATTCGTTCGGAGCTGTGCCCCTGGGAGAATGGGCTGCACGCAGTTCCATGCACTATCAGGAGGAGGAGGAGGAGGAGGAGGAGGAGGAGGAGGAGGAGGAGGAGGAGGGAGGAGGAGGAGGAGGAGGAGGAGGAGGAGGAGGAGGAAGAGGAGGAGGAGGAGGAGGAGGGGCACTCCTCTGCGTGCAGAGGCACGGCGGCGGATATAGTAACAGGCGTGTTTGTGCAGTCATCACTGGAGAACTCGAGGGAAGACACGGACTGGGTGATGATACGCAACATCAGTTCGTTAATTGCGTCAATCCAACAGCAGGGGCAAGTCACCTCCTTCAGCTGGATGGACTTCAAGAAGCATCTAGACAGGCCCCAAATGCGCGCCTACTTCGAGGCGATCGACGTTGATCCGTCCGAGGCGCAGGGCGTATTCCAGCTGCTGGATCTCAACGGAAACGGCTCCATTGACCCCGACGAGTTCTTGAGCGGTTGTCTGCGTCTGCGTGGTCCAGCCAAGGCCCTCGATCTCGCGCTGCTGCTGCACGAGGTCAGGAGGATAGCCGCCCAGATGGGCACGCTGATGGAAAGCTCTGGGCTGGCCCTGCCCGTCGACTCCGAGAGACCCGCGGGTGCCTGGGGCTGACGCGACCGCCGAAGGTGGGCGTCGTGGTTGCCACCCTGAGCAGTGAGTCTTGACCGGCCGCATTCGCTCGACCTGGGTTTCCACCATCGGTGGCGTCCAAGAAGGGGGTCGCGCGGATGTCACGCATGGGGTCGGGAGATCTCCTAGACGTCGTGGACCCCTCTTCTTCTTCCTCTTGTCCGTAGGCATAGCATTGCTATCAGTAGTGCTCTTGGCATTATCATTAGTATTAATATCGGTAGAACCAGTACTCTTATTGTTGTTGTTATTCTCGCCATTCTGATTATTATCATCCCTCTTCTTGCGATGCACACCCTGGCCCACCCCTCGTCCGCGCACGTGCCTCAGGCCATGAAGCGCCAGCCCCCCTCTTCGTGACCCCCTTCTTCGGAGGGCCCGGCACAAGGCACCAGAGCAATTGTGCAACGACGTGCCGAGCAATGACGAGCCTCTTTTTGGCTTTGCGTTGCGATGCTCCAGGAATCGTTCTGAGGCGCTGTATTCGCAAGCGCACCCGCCGCTCACGCAATCTGCGTCTCCCTTGGTGCGATTGCGACTTCGTTCCACATCATCGTGCTGAGTTTGCGAATTCTTTGTCTGTGCCCAAGCTATTGGCGTGGCGCTCTGAATGGTTACAGTCGGCCAGCCCCGAAGGGGCTCCGAGCCCAGCACAAGAAGGGAACGCTCCTCCTCCCCTCCCCGTCCACCTGGGCCCTCGCGACCCCGCAGCAGCAGCGGCGGCGGCGGGAGGAGCAGAGGGGACGGCAAGAACAGCAGCATGAGCACGACGTCTGGCAGGATCGGGTACAGCCAGGACCCCAGGTAAGGGGACCCGAATGGTAGCAGGGCCCTGGAGCCCCTACATTGGCCAAAATCACTAAACCAGGTCTGTCGTAGCTCGTGTTTTTTCGGGTGACAGCAGTTCTGGTTACTGGAACGGGGCGGGTGGGGCGTGTCCCAGTACACATCACTAAACCAGGTCCCACTAAACCCAGTTCTGCCAACGCCCGAGAGGAGACCGATCAAGCGGAGGACCAGGGGAAGCCCCGAACGGGTGAGTGAGTGGGGTGTTGGGGCGACCGCAGGGTATCGGACTTGGGCCCTTCTCCCGAGGGCGTCTCGGGCGATGGGGGCCCCCAGTGTCCCCCAAACGGGGCGGTGACTGACTGTGCGGTGAAGTCCTCCAGGATGTCGGTGTTGCCGCAAGGACCGTCACCAGACGGCCAGGGACTCCCAAGAGCAGCGGCAGTCGCAGGACTACCGGGAAGAGAGAAGACCAGTAGGCTCGGGAGCCTTGAGAGGTCAATGCAAACGGGGGTCAGCCAGAGCGCCGGATCTTGCAGGATCCTGCAGGGCCAGGGTCGCACTGGCCCAGGCTTGGGTGCAGGATCCTGCAGGATCTTGCAGGATCCTTCGCGTTGACCCGGGTTTGGGTGCAGGATCTTTCAGAATCTTGCAGGATTCTGCAAGGCCTGACTGACCCGGGTCTGGATTGACCCGGGTCAGAAGAGCCCCGATAGGCGGCCAAGGCGTCCGAGGAGACACGGTGGGAATTCCCGACACGGCCTTCGCAGCAGAGTCTCAAGGGGCGGCCAAGACCGATTGAGAGGCCCCAGGGATGGCTCACGGCAAGTCTCATCACGATTCGATTCGATTTCGAGCTCGCTGGGCTCCGTCCGAGTCGGTTTTGAGTTCCAGCGATCCGATGCGGCCCGATGCTTGCAAGGCGCGTTGTGCATCTTGGCGCGGTCTACCTGATACGATTTCGACTTCGTGCCGATGCAGCCCAATACGGCGACGTCCCGAGACGATACGGTGCAGTGCTGGCTGGTCCTGCCACGATGACCAGAAGAGCCTTGAGAAGCACAAGGAAACACCCTCCCAAGGTGAGCGACGGACATTCGCGGACATTTGCGCGTAAGTTTCCCGCGTAAGATCTCTCGTGCACGCCCTCATTTCCACTCTATGTGCCATGCTAGCGGCCCGCGTAAGCCCGCGGCGCGAGGTTGCCTTGTCGCGGAAAGTGCCCCCTTGAAAGGCGAGAGTCCCGTGGTCCCGTGTTGAAAAGGAGTTGCCATCTGTGTTTCCAGCTATATTGGCGTCACCGAGATATGACAATCATGCAAGGAAGTATCCAGCGAGAGATCCCTTTTCAAAAAAAGACGCCCTCAGTCCGTAAAAAAGTTGCTCACACGTTAGACGCTCGATCATGAAAGCATGAGGAAGTCGCAAGCGACAGCCCCGATTTGAAAAGGAGCAGCCCTTCATCCGTGCACGGTCTGGAGTATCTGCCTGGCGTGTCGCGCCGCAAGTTCTGGTCCAATATGGTTTTGTGCGGTTTGAAAGGATGGTAGTTTTCGCACCTCCTCGCCCGTGATGAAAGGTCACTGGTGCCATCGGTATTAACTGGAGTGCTCGCTTGCGTGGTTATTCATGGAATGTGGGTTCTCTAGCGGGCGGCGTCGAACAAAAAATGGTTTTGTGCGGCACGCAAATCATGCCCGAGCTTCCAAGCATCATTGCTCCGAGCGTTTCCCGGCGCCCCGTCCCACGGAGCCGAGTCGCAGGCTATCCATTTGCAAGGCATCGCGTGCCGCAGGGGCCGCCGCCCCTTCACAGCAAGTAGTCACGTCTTGGCTGTAGGATATGCGCAGAATCCGTTACTCCAGATTTCGTAATAAAAGGGAGGGGGTCTGGACCCTCCAAGACAAGCCATTTCAGACCCCTCCTCGTGGGAGAACCCTCCAAAACATCGTCCCCAGATCCCCCCAGGCCCTCCCAGACCCCCCCCGAAATGAGACCCCCCTCCCTTTCTTACGAAATCTGGAGTACCTGATCGTACGGAACTAGGTGGCCCAGAACGAAACTTGTTCGATGTTCAAAAGGAACCGCCCAGCGCATGCGAAACTGATTGGCTACTGTAAGCACAGCGAGCTAACCCACCTCTTCGTTTTCATCGGCTGCGCCAGGCCCCGCGGGGCTGCGCGTCGCTGAGGCGTCGGTGCTGAGAGACACTGAGGCCTGGTGAGCATGCTGCGACCGCTCGCCTTCGCGATGGCCTCTGCCAACGGATCCTACGTTCAGCGTTGTGCTGCGAGGGTGGACGGGGCGACGTGGGCCGGCGTCCCTCCTCCCAGGCATCGTGGAAAGAATGGGGTTTCATTCTTTCGGCGAGTCTCGCAAGGCCATCGTGGGGCGAGGAGGGGCCAAACCTCTTCGCGTCATGCCGTTGCGTGCCGAAGAGAAAGGCGCGCCGACA